CGCACGCACGCACGCACGCACGCACGCACGCACGCACACACACACACACACACACACACACACTATTGACAAGTCGGGGTATGAACGACTATCTTACAAGAATTATTAGCAATTCTTATTTTAAATTACGATTATAAACAATACGAGCGGGTCAAGTGTGCTGCTGGAGATCTTACTCATTTTATCTTTACAATTTTCTGTTTGTTATCGATGTAAAAATTCCTTTTCAATTTCTGCGCCTCTCATTACGGCTATTGTATTTCGATGTCTCATTTTAATACGTTGTTATACTTAATAAATTTCAAATATCATCTGCACATTGCATAGTACCTATATTATAACATATAGTACCTATATTATATTGTGAGAAATTATCTCATACAATAATATCATACTGTTTTAAAGGATGTTCAAAGGATTTACATAAGAATGTCTTCAAATGCCGCTCGAAGAACTATGTTCTATGGGACTTTTTAAATAAGATACTTGAAATATTATTTTGATTTCACTTTTTTTTTTATGGCATTATCTTTAGTTTTTTCAGCAAAAAATATATTTGGCGCCTTTTCTTATATATTGTATTAAAAGGCTTTGACGTGCTTGTGCAATTAGAATGAGATTAACCGTTTCAATACTAAGATATAAGCAATTAAAAATTGCAATTTTTATATAAAAAATGCCGTCTCTATAAAATTCACGAAAATGTTATGTTTTTGTAGGACCTAAACTAACAGTGACATATTAATAAAAAACAAGCTCGTTGAAGGAACATGACACGAACATTTAAACAACATTTTTGATTGTTTAGTTAGAAAAATAGATCCATGAAAAGAACGTTTCGATTTTCTTTGGCCCATGATAGCGATTGAAAGGAGTGATGGGGAATAGAGGGGATGGTCAGCGAGCACCTAGAAAATCTGGTAGCATCGGCGTTAGGCTTGCGTCTATCTGTACTATTCATTTTCTTTCCATGTATGCATGCGGCCTTGGACAGGCACAATCGAAAGTTTTCTCTTTCTGGCGGGAATGAGATCGCTACCGAGCCGAACGCCGTGACGGGATTAAACCTTTGGACGGTATTGTCGTGTTGACGGTATTGAATGTATTATCTTAAACAAAATAATAATTTTTAATTACATAAACGAATTCCTTCTTGTAAAAAATACGCCGTCTCTTTCATGACATGCTATTATCTCCTTCATAAAATATATTACAAAGATATATTTTACCGCGTCTTCTGATATACATGTAGGGGAAGTCCGGGCAAAGCAGATATGTTAAAGTTTGGGAAGAAAAATGACTAGTTAAAATTAAGTAGATCAAAAATTTTTTTTATTCTTATAATTCTATTAATAGAATCAACTTTGAAATATAATAAATTTTTTGAAATATAATAAAATTAAATTTAAAAACTTGAACATTTTAATGTCTTTTTAGTCAAAATATAGAAAAAGAGAAATTTTCGCTTTGGTCGTCTGGGCAAAATGGACGGGTCATTCGAGCAATGAGGATGGAATTTAAAAAAATCAAAATCAGTGTCGACAGTCATCAAAAGTAATTGTCAAATCTTCCATATGTAGCTTTCATAAGCCCATTGGTATACTAACTGCACTGAATCCAGTCTTCGATGTGAGTCGGTGTATTTTTTAGAAGACACATCTTACTACGTTGTGAAAAAAAAATAAAAGTGAGATGTAAATAATGTGTTTCGTACATTTGAAAGATCGTCTGTCCCTCCATCTTTTCGGATTATTTTGCAGTGCAATCACATATCGGATGAAGAGAATGAAGAGGATCCATTTGCTTTGTTCCTATTCACTTTGCCCAACGAACTATCTACTTGGCGTTAATTTGGAAAAGTGTTAGAATAAGTTTAAACAAGTGAAAAATTTTTACCTTGAATACACATTAAAGACAGAGAATTCTTATAAGAAATCATTCAGACTGATTAGAAACAATTACTGCTAATAATTAAGCTACGTACCTTAGCAAAAATCGAAAACACATAATTTCTTTCATTTTTCTATCAAACACGAATGAGCTTAATCATATGTTATTTCACACTTTCATGACGTCGCCAGTTCAGTTATTCCTTTAACAGTTAGAGACTCATAGTATTATCTCTGATAAATAAGTGAAAATAAAAAATATTCGCTTTGCCCGGACTTCCTATATATATAGAAGTGTGTAGACAGAGCGGATTAAATAGAGACAAAAAATCCTCTACCATTTTGCAATTTTTTTTGTTACCCCGTGAACAGAATCTAAAATCGATCCATGAAACAACTTTAAGATGTCTTTAAAAGTACTTTAAGAAATCCCCATCTTTAAAATATTTCATAAAAAATTTTGAAAGAAATCTTGAAATTGTTTTATGCATCGATTTTATTCATTTATTCGACAATCTTTAAAAATTGATAACTTTACTATTGCGAAAATAGCAAAATAGTACAGGATTTGATTTAGTTTAGTCTGTTTCATTTATACACAAGCGCTTTGTCGAAACTTATCGGACATCTATATCTGCCATATTTGATACAGCGAAGCAAGAGGGAGGAAAAATATATGTATATTCGCCTCTCGATCGAAAATCAATAGTGCTCGTTATATCGCGATCAGTATGAGATTCCCACAAAAGCCAGAAATCTTGTCAGATCGCCTATCATTCGACGAAGAAACTTCGGTAACGCGTAAAGCCCGGAAAAAAGTTCGCGGCAATGCAAAATCAAGATTCGCCGTCGGGTCGAACTCCTCGAGTGCTCGAGCACAAAAACATCACAGATTGCGCCGATTGCGCGTTACGTTTGTCTCGATCCTCAGGAGATTGGCGGACGCGGAACTCGCGAATAAACTCGATCGCAAAAACGCCAACCGGGAACTTCAACGGGCAACTCGTGGCGATGTCCTCCCGTGAACATTGGCTTATTCGATTTTTCTAATGCATTTTTTATCATGGGATATACCAGGTGTATAAGGTGAAATGACGATTTGAGAAACAGATGGCGCATCAATGCAGTGTGAAGTACAAAGATTTAACATTATACGCCATTTGTACCATCAACAAGTGTCAAACGCGCAAAGTGATTTGATTGAAAAGTGTTTGCATAGTACTGTGCTGTTGCTGTGTTTAATATGGTGAAATTTGTACCAAATAAGGAGCATTCGCAGACAGCATTAATTTTTTGTTTTCATTTGAAAACTGCTGCGGAATCATACCGATTACTTGAAGAAGCTTTTGGTGAATATGCTCCATCGCAAAAAACGTGTGAACGATGGTTTCAGCGTTTCAAAATTGGAGATTTCGATGTTGCAGACAAGGAACACGAAAAACCGCCCAAAAAGTACGAAGACGTGGAATTGCAAGCATTGCTGGATGATTCACAAACACAAAAACAACTCGCAGAGCAATTGAGCGTTAGTCAACAAGCTGTTTCCAATCGCGTACGAGAGATGGGAAAGATTCAGAAAGTCGGCAGATGGGTGCCACATGAATTGAACGAGAGACAGATGGAGAGGCGCAAAAACACATGTAAAATTTTGCTCGAACGAACGATACTTGCATCGTATCGTTACTGGGGATGAAAAGTGGATTTTTTTTGAGAATCTCAAGCGCAAAAAATCATGGATAGACCCAGGTGCACCATCCACATCGACCACAAGATCGAATTGTTTTGGCAGGAAGACGATGCTCTGTGTTTGGTGGGACCAGTTAATACCAAACGGTATCAACAATAATTGATCGATTTGAACTATTTGCTGCTTAAAAAACGACCAAAAGAGACAACACAAGGTCATTTTTCTCCATGACAATGCTCCATCACATACGGCAAAACCAGTTCGGGACATGTTGGAAGCATTCAGTGCTTCCTCTGTTTTTTTTGGGAAAAAAATCGTCATTTCATACTTGTACACCTGATCCGAATTCTATTTCCTATCCTCCGTCGAAGAGAAAAAAACTACCCCGAACAACTCGAGAAAGTAGCTGTTCTTCGAAGCGAATCGATTTCAACCGGCAAACTAGGAGGTGCGATTAAAGTCCCGAACTACTTTGGAAAAGGCAAATCGCTAAATGTTCTTCTGATCTTACGAGTTCGCCCGCAAATTTGCAAGAGTATGTTGATATTATTCACCGTCTTTGGTATGTAACTTATCGCGATTATAGTCAGAATTAGGAAGTGATCAGCGATCTATAACGTCCAAAGCGGATGAAAATGGAAGAAAAATTATTTTAAGAAGATAGATAGTATTGCTGTTACGATGCTAGAATATCATATATGATGAATGATTAGTTAATATACACACGAAACAAGATTAATATCCATTTAATTCATTACATATTAAAGTTTGTATTAATCTGGAGCTGATTAATATTCTTTTAGCTTTAAATGTGAGCTTTCATAATTTCACATTTCTATGTTATTAAAATTTAACTTTTTCATTAAAATCTTAGATAATGATATTAAACAAAATAATTATCTAAATAAAAAATAATTTTAAAATAATATATTAACTTTATATTAATATTAAAATAATATTAAATTTATTTTCTTTATTTTTTGCTTTCAGAATACCACATTACTCTCCGTGTGGGAGGACAACAGTGTAGTAAGTGATATAATAATGGAAAGATCACAGCCGATCGTCCGTCGATATAAAGTCCCAGTTCCTGGTGGCTTTAACGCTCAGGTGAGACTTTTAATACCACCTGATGCTGATATGAGTGGTGCCACCAAGTATCCCATGCTGGTTTACGTGTAAGTTTTTTAATTTTTTCAATAGACAAGAAAAACTCTCTAAATAAAAGCATACGCAATCATTATATTCTCGTTTGTTTACAACACACTTCAAGTAATTTGAAATTGTTTTCATTTGCACGAATAAAAAACATGTTACATGTATTTGATTTTTATGAATTATTTTTATTATTTTTTTATAATGGCAAAATATTATATGGTAGCATATACGAAATGTTTTACACGAAAAATATTTGTGAATGATCTACGTGAATCTTTATTTGATTGATATTTTATGATTTTATTTTTTAATTTTATATTTTATCATATTTTATGGTTAATTCTATCTTATGTTAGTTCCATTTTCTGAAACTGCAAAGAAAGAACGATTTTGCTGAAATATCTAAAAATTTAGCTACATATACATGAACAGATCTGAAGATAATTTTGTGATACTATCAAAATAATTATTTAGGACACTGATTATTTCTAAGAACACACGCGAGAAACATTTTTAATTTATACACATTCGATTTCACAATTGTTAAAATTATGACAGACACTAGAATACTAAGAAATTCAAAAAAGCACTTTCCAGCTATCATTTAAGTTCTTAAATTACGTCGTTTTTCGGCGTCATGTATATATCTCGAAATTTTACTTAAAAAGCAACCATATTTTTCGCGGCACGACAAGAAATGTGACAACGCACTCCGCGGGCGTCATCAATCGGTTTCGTCATAATGCACTCGCGAGATAAATGTAAATGGAGGAGCCGGTGACGAACATGCAGTAGCGGAGCAAGACTGATGTGAAAACGAAGCTCTTCTTTACGTGGTTTGAATTAAGACGGGATAACCGGTAAAACCGCATAAAGCGATGAGTCATTCCGTGTCTCTCAATCTTACGAAAACTTCAGCAGCTTTTCCGATAAAAGCGGAATGCTATCGATCGATTCGCCCCGATATTTCTTCTAATGATGAAGAAATAGTCAAATTAACACATTCGTCAAAAGAGAGCTAAAAAAAAACAAATGTATAACGTCTGCTTTCAATCTTGTTAATTTTTTTTTTGAACTTCATTCTTAATATTGAATCTTTTTTATATTTTAAAATATAATTTAAAATGCAATTTTTAAATGCAATATTTCGAACAAATATTTCTATGTTTCATTGAAATGAGTAATTGTAATGAAAATTATTCCTTTACATCGATTACGTATGTGTGAATCGATGGTAATTTTGTTAGGAGAATTCTAATTCTTTTTTTAAGTCATTAGTCATTGTCGTAATAGTGAGATAAGCATTTTATGTTTTCCACATTTTGAAAGTGGCATGTGTATGCGGCAACGTCGTCGGCGAGCACGACGCTCGAGGCCGATATAACTTTCCGGCTACTATCTTAATAATACCTAACTTGTAGGCGTTTCTAGCCGAGCTCAGAAAATATAAAAAGCTGGCTTATGATGTAAATTGCCACGATGTCCATCCATAAAATATAAGCTTTACATTGCACATTAACGGTCAGGGCAAAAATAGTAACGAGATCGTTAAGAATGTTTTATGTATAGTATATGTTCTTTTCCTAGAATAACTGACTTGTCATCAAATTTTAATTCGATAGATACATTTTATAAAAATCTAATCTCGGAAAAAATAGAAAATCTATATTATTTTGATGTAATGCAGTTGTAATAATGTAGTAAAATTCATTAAGATTTATTAAAATTAATTTATCTAATACAATTTTAGATTAATTTTCACATATATATATATATGAAGATCAAAATTTCAAAAGAGGATACCATTATGATTATTCTTCCATATTTTTAAAATTTTTTAAAAATCTTCTCTCATTAATATATAATTCTCTTACTAGAAAACAATTTATTGTTTCTTTAATTTGTTTTGTATGACAGAAAAATGAGGAAACATTTATATTTTCAAAAAATTCCTTATATATAAATAATCATTGATTTACATATCGATTCAAATATTGCGTCTCATCCACATTAAATGTTTTATCGACTTTTGAGAATACAGAATGACGACGAGTAGCGTAAAATTAAATTCATAGGAGAACTATTACAATTGTCACAGTAGACATGTTCAATCGACGATGCCGAGTAAAGTTTCGAGAAGTTTGAGCTTCTATCATTTGCTTATAGGATTAATTGTACTCGTGCATGCGTGCGTGTGAAACGGTTTACTGGATCCTGCGGAGTGGATATTTTCACATATCATGGATATTCGGATGATCGCTTATTCTCTATGATTTTTAATGAAATTTCCTCTACATTCACAGTCTAGATCATCAATTGCGATACTTAATGTTCGTGATACGAGACGTTTTCGAAACTAACGATGGGACAACTAGTGTAGAGTTGAGTGATGTTCTTATAATTATAAAATTTAAAAAAGTTTCTGTCATCTCCTTTTCTCTTTCAAATACGATAACAATACGAAAACATCACTAAGGTTGTAATGCTCAATTTAATGACATTAATACTCTATTTTCATGTATACTTAATGAAGTTTTTCGTTTGATGTAAACACGCGATATCAGAATCTGTTATGATACGATAAATAACAGCCATACGATGAAGAGCTCCGTATATACATATATCGCATTTCTAACTGTAATGCAATTTCAACTCGTAAATCCAACTCTTTATCCAATTCGCTTTATTATAAAGAATTTATTATAAAACATGAAGTACACTGTGATTACGTCGCTCTCTGTGTCGGAAATAGCACGAGATTACACGTGGCATCATTTACATGCGTATTATTACATGAGATTATTATAGATCAGGATAATGTCAACCATACCTACATATGATTTTAAAGCACGTTAAAATCATACGATATCATGATAACAGTGACTAATTTCTAAACGATATTTTAATTGCTCAATTTTGGCACAATAAAAGTTCACTTTATTGTCTCATATGTGGATTAAAAAATAGTAAAAACCGTACATACATGTATATAAATATATAAATAAATGTGTAATTTTCCAACTCAAGGAATTATGATTTTGATAAATATGCGAATAGGAGAGACACTTTTATCATTGTTGTCAAGGTCATGACTCTCTATCAGGTTTTAATTACCGTTCGTTATTCACAAAAAAAATTATTAACAAAAAAAGTTCATCAAAAACTAACTTTTGGACACAACTGCGCTTCGATGAAACAAATCCCTTGTTTTAACAACGTAAAAAATATTTACTTATATAATTTCTTATATAATTTTTGTGCTTTTAGAATAGACAACTTGGCGAGAAAGCAATTTGGCGAGATGGGATGGAACTCGCTTCGCGTGGAAATCGTGTATGACAGTTGCTTCATGTGAAAGTCGTGCGCTCCTAAGCAGGGGGGGGGG